GCCCTTAAGGTTTGGTTTTTAGTTGATTCAGCATTCAAAACATGTCTGGTCAGTAGCTTGTCACCAGTTCCAGGCTTGAGACACATTTCAGAAGCTTTCTGAGAAGTACTGAGCTTCCTAAGAGGTATCTTGAAACAGTCATCATACTAAGTCATTACATCTCATAATTGCTTCACTACTTCAGAGTGGCTATATTTCTCCTCTCTTAAGAGGACTGTTGCTTTACTGAAGCACTTGCCCATCATGTGTTTGTTTTATCCAGCAGAAAATTTTATATCTGCTTCTTTAACAAGCAGAAATACATTTCATTTGTTTCTTATATTGCCTGCCTTGAAACAGAACAATTTTCTCACCATTGTATGAAAGGAATATGTTTTTGTTGAAATACAGTAATTGCGATAACATTTCCCCCTATCCTGAAACTGTATTTTTATCCTTTCCTGTCGCTCTCACATGTGTGTTTCAGTATTTATATCAGACAATTTTGATGTGGCTCCTTGTTTAAACTTTAGTTGGATTTTTAAAAATACATCTCTTTATGGCTTACACTAATCTTTACATCCTTACATCTTTAATTTGGCCTCACTTGCCCTTTTTTTCTTTGGACATCACCAGAATATACTTTGCATTTTTAGCGTCTTTGGGAAAAAATGATTTTTAATACTCAGCTCTACATTTCCCAGACTTCACCAGATTCCAGTAAAACACTCCTCAGGGCATATCAAATTCCCCCCAAGTCAGCTCTCCTTAAGTCCAAAGCACTTGTGGTGCTTCATACTCTGAAGAATTATGATGCTTCAAAATATAATGAAACTGATCAGAAAATCATAGTTCTTTCTCTTACTTTTTGCATAAGTTTCCCATTTCCTACATTTTTTATTCCAAATGGGCCTTAACGTTCAAAAGTGAGTCAACGTTGTTCAAAAAGCTTTATGAGAAAGACAGTTTCTATTGTTTAAATGTGAAATATCCTAATACTTTATAGCCCATATTTTTGGTGAAGACGTACATCTTACTACACAAAGAAGAGTGATTTTAAGCTTGTCCTTTCCCATGACTAATAACATTGCATTTGTTTTAGCCTCCTGATAGACCTGTTTTATCTATAAGCGAAAAAACTTTCTTTACCCAAACCAGAGGTTTACGTCAACCCCTGAAAATCACTACTTTAGTAAATGATTGTCTTTCTGAACCGAATCACTATGTTAGCCAAAATATTTATATAATTGCTTACTTTAGACTCAACATTAAACTTTACCCAGAGTTACTACCCAGCCAGTTTAAAACTGACCTGGGTTTTTTCAAGCCTGTCATAGTCAACATCCTGATTCTGAAGAAAAATTATTTGTATCTGTAGATGATGGGCAGTTTAGGGACTGATCTTTGGAAACCTAATAACTCTCATTTGCCCTCAGCTCTCATTTTATGTAGGCTCTGAGCTGGTTACACATTATAGTGTGCCAGTGAATTTTCCTAGTTATTTCATGTTTCAAGCATGTTTTGAATGGTTTTTTAAAACAGTATTTTTATAATCAGTTTATTAGGCTGCTAAATCAAGATTCAAAGGAAATAAGGTTAGTAACAAGGGTATTGCTATTAATTAGTAAAGAAGAAACACTCTGATAATTTGACAAATATTGTAGAATACAGAGCATCAGGAACTATATTGTCCCATGCAAATAGATCTATTTTATTTTCTTCTTTATATCCTATACCTCTTATGTCTTGATCTTCTCTTACTGTATTTGCTAGCAGCACT